TATCCACACAGCTTGCATAGCCACTTCCTAATTTTGAAAACGTTGAACTTAACAGCTTCGATGATCGGTGGTCGAACCACAAAGAGAATGTGCTTTATATGATGCTCCTCCTGCTTACTGGTCTCCTCTCCTTCACTCTAACCTTGGTTAAATTGTTCCACCTACCTCTTCCTATTGCACTGCTATTCTCATAGCAATTTCCTCATCAGTACTCTCCCCCAACTTCTGCCTCTTTTTACGCACTGATTGAAAGGCCCCACCTCTTCTCCTTGCAAGCTTAGTTTGCCATCTGCTTCACATTCTGGTTAAAGACTCTTTTCCTATCATTAAAACAATAGACACAGATTCAAAAATTATAACTCATTTATCTCAACAACCGTGTTGTACACTTATGGGCCATATAAAAACGCCATTTTGAGTGTTAAAAAAATGATAAAAACCACTGATTCACTTCCACATTTCCCCTTAACAGTTATTTTTTAGAGACACATTCAATGAAAGGTCTTTAGTTTTCTTCATTAGACCCTCCACTTGGCATTAACAAGTGGCTTCTTTGGGTACATGTGTGAATGTGCCCAACACACTGATGAGTCATTAAAAGCAGATTGTTCCTGCATATGGACCCATTCCATTAGCACGTGCATCTCTGTGAATGTGTCCTACACTTGGAAACTTTGGCAGTTAAGGACTCCGGTGGTCTGGACTGACATTTAGCCTTCCAAACAGAAACAATGCAGGCTTCCTTTTTTCTTTTCTCCAAATAAAGCGAGAAAGTGGTAGCTTGAGCACTCTACTTGAGATCAAATCACTGAAGGCGCATGTTAATGCCAGGTATGAGCCGAGCCTTAGTGTCTGATGCACTTCCTTTTAGTGCTCTTGATCCACTGATTTACAGGCATGACATGTGGGTGGCAGTGTGTCCGTGTGTGTTATTACTCACTGCACTCACTGCAAAACCCTGGCTAAATCCTATTTACTGTGCCCTGATGTAATAACAAGGAGCAACATCACCCTGCTACCTAAATGGCACTCTGACTTAGGCAATATATCAGTTTTTTAATCTATCCTCTCCAGGCACCACATTAATGACCAACTTAAAAATTTGTCCCTTCTTTTGAGGAGAAGATTAGTCTAAACCAAGGCAGTTAGTGGGCAGAATAGTGTATCAGTAAGGAAGGAGGGAGAGGAGGAAAGAGAGGGAAGCCATAACCACTTTCCCATTAGGCTATTGATTTTTCTCTCTCTCAAGGACACGCTTCAGTCCCGGGCCCATGTGTAGACTGTCTGTCAGGAATCTATAGCTAAGCTTTACACTGAAGAGTTGTGAGCCTTGGCTGCCTGTGTTTTGGCCTCGGCATAAATCTGACCACACTCGAAATGAGAAAGAGGGATGGGCAAATTGAGACAAGGTCAAAGGGTAGGTAGCTGTGATGAGCGCTGTGTGCCAGCTGTCAGAAAGAAAGGCAAGTGGCTGTGATTGGCATGAGTGGCTGTGGGCATAAACACAGGAGCAGTCCAATAAAAACACAAATAGCCAACGCAAAACACACAACTACCCACACATGCACACTTACACCCACACACACTTGCACAGACAGAGTAAAGGGATAAATGTTTTACACATGCTCACCACTGGAGGAAAGTTAAGAAAAAGGGAACACATCAATGAATTCCACTAAAATCCTTGCGCAAATCGCTTAGTGAAATCCTTGGTGACAGCTATTGATTTTTTGGTGGAGTCTAGTTAATTGGGCTCAGTACCCTCTAAAAACTGTGTGGTCCTATATCCTTTCCCTTTGTTCAGCTACACTTAATCATCTTTCCCCCTAGCTATAGATTTCTCCTTGACTGTGTTCAAATCCATAGACATCAGGTCTGTGAGGACGGAGGGGAGAGGGAGGCAAAAGTTCACAAGGATCAATAAGTGCTTTATGGTCCAGATCAGATGTGCATGGTAGCCCTTAAAAACCCCCAACTACTGCTAAGACGGAAACTGGAAGGGGAAACACAACAGCTCTTCATCAAAGAGAAATATGGAGCCAATGAAACATTCGTCTAACATGGTTGCTAATTCCCCACCTTAACGTCTCAATTAGCGCCCAAATCGTGAGGAGACCTTGTTAAAATTGAAGACAGAAGCCCTCCCAAAGGCCCGGCATCTGGAGAAAATGCAACAAAAATTAGTTTGGTGCATATTCTTTCTGTGACGAAGAAATCACCCCAGCCCTGACCTTAATGTGAACTTGCCCACCAGTCGCCTTGAACCTGTGTTTTAAACAAGTCTGTTTATCTGTGGGTATAGCAAAGTGCAAGGTCACCACAGTTGACTAAATCTAAACCAAAAACTAGATCAAGGTGTGAAAATGTATTTCCTTTAGATTTACTTTTTTCTTTCCCCTGAAATCTGAGGCTGTCACGAACAACAGTGTAAAGTTTGCGTGCACACATAATCCTCAACTGCAAAATGGGAAGTGTTACATAAGTTAACAATCATTTCCTTTCATTGCCTATAGTGCTAAATTTACAGGAGAAATTACCGCCCTGCATCTATCAAAAATGCTGCAAAATACAGCCTGCGTGAAGTAGGAAACTGTGTAAGTGACGTCACCCTGTCAACAGCTCTCGATTTGTTGGTGTTAGCAACACTGACATAATGCTTCTTCATAGTGCTGACTCTTGCTCTATGGAGGATTAATAGAAGCATGTGACGAGGTTAGAGTCATACAAAATTGACCTCAAGTGTCTGTAAGATAATCACCGCTGAACTCTATCAATTAATTACCCCAATCAATTAAACTGAATCATGCAATAAGTGAACAGAATGTGTTTAAAGTACCATATAACTAATACTGTAAGTAGACTGTTATGGTGGGGTTCAGCGCCAGAAGAGGGTCTCAGACAGATGGCTGTGTGAACACACGTGGCACACCTAATGCTGTTTGCGACTTATCAGCTAGCAGGGAGGGGAGCTGATTGTGTCTCTCAATTATCCCGGCAGATGAAAGTAACGAGCGAAACAATAGATATACCACCTCGCTAAATGGGCTCTAATGGGAGAGATAGAAAGCCGAGTCGGAAGGATGGGTGAGAATGGAGAAAATATAACAAGGAGGGGAGTTGCTGCTGTGCTGATGTGAAAAGGGATTGTGGTCAGATTCTATTCTCGTGGACAGGTAATTGCTAAATTACTTCTCTCCTTTCATCCCGCATTTTTTTGGGGGGGGGATGGTTTGGCCATCTTTCATGATGCCACATTTTAAAGGCGTATTATGGTATATTTTTAAGGGATTGGCTAAGATAGTATTTCATAGCAAACGCTGCACATTTTCTGTCTTCCTTGCTTATGTCTAGACACTTTGTAAACAAGACAAAGTAACACAAAATCACATTAAAAACAGAAACTGTCACCAGCTTGCTTCTCTGAGTATTGCAGGAATGTTTTTGTATGAACAATCGCTGTAACATTTGGAGTTGTGACGTGAACGGCCCTGGCAAAAATGAACAAATTGTTTCTACTGAGACTTCTCTGCATTTTTCATGTGGCATGTCTTCACCGATGCACATATCGTCAAGAACACTGCAAAAGCTTTCAACTTCTCCCAACTCGCAAATAATACTAGGCTGCAGCTCAACACTTGCGCTGAAAGTGGAAACGTTGCAAACGCGCTGAAGCAATGTCAAAGTTTAGCTTTAAGTGGTGTAGGTGGTGACTGAGTGATACATGTTTTCCTCCTCTGGGCTTGCCGGCTCTACTAACTGTATACTCAGCCCTGCTGATGTTACCACCTCCTGTACATACTCACTTTCACAGATGCTTTCTGTATATGTTACACTGTTTCATGTAACCAAAGGAAGACCACAGTCAGGAAGTAGACTCAGATCTACAATATACTACACTGCAATGTCTAAAGTATTCCCTCACCCATCCAAACCACTGAATTCAGGTGTTTCGATTACTTTAATGGCGACAGTGTATAAAATTAAGCAGGTAGACATGCAGACTGCTTCTACAAACACTTTTGAAAGAATGGGTCGCTCTCTGGAGCTCAGTGAATTCCAGCGTGGTATTGTGATAGGATGCCACCTGTGCAACAAGTCCAGTTGTGAAGCTTCGTCGCTACTAAATATTCCACAGTCAGCTGTTAGGTGTCCATAAAAACATGGATGAACAAAACACCATTGGGATAACTAGAGCAGAGACTGCAACACAGGCCTTCTTGTCCAACATCAGTGTCTGACCTTCTGGAATAATTAAAATTAAATTGTAATTAAAAATTAAAAATTCCCATGAACACACTCCCGAACCTTGTGGAAAGCTATAAAGTTGTTATAGCAACAACAGGTATTCCAACACCATATTAAAAGCATTTTTCTGTTGTACCTTGTTTATTTACTATTATTTATTTAATTTTTGTAATATATCAATAATCTGCTTTTCTTTTTGACCCTTGTGCTGCTGATTGAATTCCCCCAGTATGTTCAGAGGTAAAAACCACTGAGACAATATAAGAATTCAAAGTTGTCTCCTAAACAAGGATATGGAAATGTGTTCATTGTTTGATCAGCCTGGCACTGAGACAAATGCAACTTTCCTGGAAGATGACATTGGACAGAGGCTGTAAATGAATAAATAAAAGAGTGAGAGCGGATAAGACTTTCTGTTAGGAAACTAATCAAAACTTCAGACACTGGACACAGAAGCAGTCAAGTCGTATCTGTAAGTGAGACCAGACTGGTGAACTAATGTAGCTTCTACATGTGTGCGCGCGCGCGCGTGTGTGTGTGTGTGTGTGTGTGTGTGTGTGTGTGTGTGTGCATATACGTATGTGTTTCTATGTGTTAGGCTATTCCTAAAAGTAGCTTGGCTTGCCAAAAAGCTTGCAGCAAAATATTTTGACACGGGGTGAAGCACAGTGTATCCATCATACTAGTAATACATTAAGCTATGGCTCATTGTGGATCTTCTGCAGCTACACAGGCTCTGTGTACAGCGCACTAACCAGTCTCAGACAGGAGCTTGATGGACTCCAGCACACGCTCGGTGTAGACCCCGGGCTCATAGTTTTCCATCTCAGCGTTAATGATGTGGACCACGCGAGCAGCTCGGCCCCGGATAGCTCCAGCAGTTCGGTCAAGAGTGTCCACATCGCCCTCTTGGAGAGCTATTACACATTTGTTGACATCCTCAAGGATGTGGTTCTCTTGAGAGTGAGAGAGAGAGAAAAGATGACAGTGAATGAAAGTGGGAAGCAAAAAATGAAAAAGACCCAAGGATTCTGTTGTTGAGAGACATAATTATTGTTTAATAAACAGATTTTCCTGGAAAATGGAGATAATAAGAATTGAACCTAATGATTCACATTTATCTCTGAATGTGCACTGTTGATACACTGTTGAGTTTATTTCTCCAAGAAACATGTTGATTATGGATAAAATTCAATACCTGTTGCTTTTTTTGGACACCATCCCACCCCCGTCCAAAAAATAAACTTTTTTCTTCTGCCTTTTGATGGGGTTTTTTTCTAGTTCACTGTATTTTGCTTCAAATGCTGTGATTTCTTATTTTTTTTTTATTAACTAAATAGTAATTTTGTTTTTCACATCAAGCCTCCATAGAGATTTTTTGTGAAGATTTGGTGCCAGAGGACACAAGCAACAACATTCAATAACTCACTCGCTTCAAGGGAAAATCAGGAGCATGTGGACCATTTGCTTCAATCAGTTAGTCTGTGAGGAATTTGTGCTGGCTCATACCTGACACAGAAAGGAAATCATCCACAGAAGTGATGTCATCCACAGCCTCAGTCAAGATGCGCACTTGTTTCTCCCACTGATCTTTGAAAACATCCATGTTGTCCTGGGCCACCTTGCTTTGGGGACGGGCAGCCAGAGTGAGTGCAGCATTGATGACCTGATATGGGACAAGAAATGTACATGTGTGCGTTTAAAATGAAGTCTTAAAGACATTTCTGCATATCTGTGAGTCATTTCAGGAGAAACGACATCTTTACTAGTTTATATATAAGATATATAAGAACATACAGCATGATGAATGAAGTCTGGCTATCATATCAAGACTCTGACACTGGTGAACAGTGTGGCAGCAGTGGCACAGTAGCTGAGTGCTATGCTATTCTCGTAGTCATTAAGGTTTTCAGTCTATGCTGTGGCCTGCTAGTAGCAGCTACAGCTACAGACTAAAAGGATTTAGCAACCAAACGTTTGCCACATTTGCTTGAAATATATTGTTAATTGCACAAATGTAATAAATGATGCAGAATCTTTTACAGCTTAAAAAAGCAAGGCTTAAAGAAAGCACAAGACCTTGATATGTGCAAGGTAAACCATTCAGCTTTAGGACAAAGAAAAAAATAAGATAAATACTTCACAGGGATACAGGGATGATAAAAATAATACCGGCCTTATCGTGTACTTTGAAATACCAATAGACAATATTTTAGCTACCCGAGGGAAGTAGCAATAGCTCCTTTGGAAAATGAAAGTGCTCTCCTCTTCCTGCTTTTGTTGCACAGTCAAACCCTCATTTTCCCGGGGGATTTCATACCCAGAGGCAGTTAGCAGAGTTAGTACCACCAATAAATTGTTCAATAAACACTTACTGCATAATGAAAAGTTAAAGCAAATAACTTGGGCACTGCCACTTTAACAACAAGGACCAGTTTATTTATTTCTTTGTGCCTTTGCTTTCTCACTTTGTGCTTTTTAGATTTACTTTTAGTGACATGAATCTGATCTAGATTATGATCTGAACATGGCAGTCACTGAGGCAGTGTGTGTGTGCACTTCTGCGTGCATTTGCACGTGTAAAGAATAACCAGTCTGGTTTAACTCTACTTGGAACAGATGGAAATACCTCTCTTTGTTGCACCTCCTCTTTGTTCCCTCTACTCCAGTCACAAAGCCTATGTCTATTATGTTTTTAATCTGCGTGTGTTCAGCTGTGCCAAGCAGTGTCAGGGGACAGCGCCTCTCCAAGTTTTATAAGTTAGTTGGTCTCGGTAGGTACGGGTAGAGGAGACTGCACATTAGATCATGAATCTTAAAATCAGCCTCCCTTCTCCATTTCTCATTCTCGTTACAATGTTTGGTCCTGTGTGGATAAGGCTTACTGTTAACCTTGGAAACAACTGATGGATTTCAACATCCTCCTTTGTTTCTTCCTGCGAAACAGGACTACAATGTCCTCCTACACATTATTTATAGCTTTTCTTCCAAATCCGACAACTACAACCTCTTTCCTTTAATATTCCTAAATATTACACTTTCATAAATCGGTAATTAAATATAGTAAAGTTCCTTAAAAGAACATTTTGATTTGATCTCATGTTAAGAATTTGTATTTTATGTAGTGCTGTCAGCGTTAATCTCGTTAAAATGACGTTAATGCCATAATGGCTTTAAAGTGGCAAATCTCTGTTAGCGAGTTAGCGTGGAACGCCCCGTATGTTAACGAGCTAACGCGTTAGCACGGTTAGCTCGTTAACACGTTAGCAATGTGCAGCCCCACGTACGAGGCAATCTGCGCTAACTTGCTAACTGAGATTTGCAACGTTGATTCGGTTATGGGGTTAACGTTATTTTAACGAAATTAACGATGACAGCACTAATTTTATGTGATGTAGGTGTTTTAAAATCCTCACCTGTGGACACAGGCTGTCGATCTGGGTGGCGGCCATTCGTACCAACTTCACGCCCTCTTCATTGTTGGAGATGGAGCATGCCAAGTTGGCCACCTGAATAAAACAAACACAAAAAAGAGACCTAGCTGTTTTAATCTCGAAACTGTTAGCATTGAGGAAAACAAAAAGAAAAAATGTTGTGCCTCTATCAAGCGGTCATGCTCCAAAAAGGATATCTTCATCTTTTTCAAGACTTTTGCTGCAGCAAATATTTCTGCGTGCTGGCCATAAATTCCTCTCTAAACCAGTTTCAATTTAAGTTTGAGGGCCACAAATGACGAAACATTTTATTGTGTAGTTGAAGGTAGAATTCAACAGTCTGAATTAAAGCAACCAAGTTCCAAAATTATACTCCAGTACAGGCCAGTACAGTCTATTCTTTGTGTACAAAACTCCCTGCCTGTGTATTCTCTCCACAGCACAGCAAGGCATCAGTGAGAAACGAGGGGGGATTTTGTATTAAAAATACTGTAACTGTGATAAAATCCCACTTGATTGGTGTAATTGTGACTCACACTTGGTGTGTTGTAAAATTAGAAAGCAATTTTGAACAACAAGAGGACAGAAGATTTTATTCTCTATTATCTGCAAATGAAAAGTAAGGGTTTGTGTTTCATTGTCCATATGTTCATGAGTGTTTACCTATCATTTAATATGCAAATCTGGGTTATCTTTGTATCATTATTTGTCCAACTGAAACATTTGTGTTTGTACTGTACATTAATTACTTAGGTATGCCTGGTAAACTGCTTGTTAATACCAATCTCTAATAAGTCCTGTCCCAGGAGCTCAATGTGTTTAGTCATTTAGACACGGTAAAGACAACCTGCAGGCTGGACCTACTGAAGTTCAAACCGAGCATCTGAATTGGGAAGAAAGGTGATTTAGTTGACTTTGAACATGGCATGGTTGTTACTGCCAGACAGGCTTGTCTGAGTATTTCAGAAACTGCTGAGATCCTCTGCTGGGATTTTCCCGCACGACCATCTCTAGGGTTTACAGAAAATGATCCAAAAAAGAGAAAATATCCAGTGAGCGGCCGTTTGGAGGATGGCCAGACTGGTTTGAGCTCATAGGAAGCCACCGGTGACTCAAATAACCCAAGGTATTCAAAAAGGCATTGCTCAATGCACCACAGGTCAAACCTTGAAGTAGATGGGCTACAGCTGCTGAAAACCACACCGGGTGCCATTCCTGTAAGCAAAGACGAGGAAACTGAGACTTTAGTTTCCACAGGCTCACAGAAGATTGGAAAAATGTTGACTGGGCTGACGAGTCTCGATTTCTGCTGCAGCTTTTGGATGACAGGGTCAGAATTTGGTGTAAACAATATGACTGCATGGATACGTCCTCCTATGTATCAATGGTTCAAGGCTACTGGAGGAGTAATGGTCTGAGTGATATTTTCTGGGAACACCTTGCGCCTCTTAGTACCAAATAAGCATCATTTAAATGCCACAGCCTACTAGAGTATTGTTGCTGACCATGTCCATCCCTTTATGACCGCTGTGTACCCACTCTCCTGATGGCTGCTTCCAGCAGGATAAATGTGCCCTGTCACAAATATCAAATCATTTCAAACTGGTTTCCTGAATGTGACAATGAGTCCACTGCACTTAAATGGCAGTCACCAGATCTCAAAGCAACAGAGCATCTTCTGGGATGTGGTGGAACAGGAGATTCTCATCATGTATGAAGAGCCGTAACATCTGCAGCAGATGTGTGACGCTATCACATCAATATGGACCAAAATGTCTGAGGACCTTGTTGAATCTCTGCCATGAAAAATTAAGACACATCTGAAGGCAAAAAGTGGCAAAAGGCAGGCACAACAGAGTAGCATTACCCGTCTTATTTTTAACTGCAGTAATTAGCTGGTATCAGATCAGATTACAGGGCTTTCATTTTCATTTTTCATTAGACAGGCGGTGCACATAGATTTGTAAATGAGCAGCAGGTGACATAAAGCAGATGTTTTTGTGTGTGGACATTTTCTTATGGAAAATAATGGCACAGACATCTAAAGTATTACAGTAACATAACTATTTAGGGCATGCACATCTGGTGTGTGAGAGAGCAGAGTACTGCTGCACCGGCTGAACATAGATAATAATATTAATTCAGATCCAAATGGCCAAGCTTATCAAATATGTATATGCAATTAGGATTTCAGGTATAAAGCATGACTGGCATGCCTAAATAATCATGGGGCCTGGTGGTGGTGGAGAGAGGTGTTTTATTATATAATTATGTTGCCAGATGGTTTTTATGTATGACACACCCTTAGGTTGATTTATGTCTTTCTTTATATCAAGGCACAGTTTCTTGATAACATGCTTTCAGCTTGAATCCTTTATAGGAGACACATAGAGACGCTTATCCAAGTTAACTTTTAAAGACTTTGTTGTTAAAAAGCTTCACTTTAAAAACTAAATTAGAAAATCCCATGCCTCTCTAGTTTTTAAACTAATTATAAGAGCTTGACAACATTTCAAGATTTTATATTTTAGTGTCTGCGTGCGGTATTCCTATAAAATATCTGAAACCACCACAGCAATTTTTTGTCTTTATGGCTATGAGGAACAGGGGCACAGTTTGTGCTAGTCCCATGTGAAGTCATCCACAATATCACTGTCTCTCACTGTTAATTTTCATAACTTTAAACTGTTTAAAAGCCAACACCATCTCTAAACAAATCACATTTCGGCATGAGCCCAGGCTTTGAAACTGAGCTAAACAGACACATGCCAGTTGGCAGTAAAAGGTGCCAGTCTGCATTAGCACTTCTAGTACTCACACGTCACTGTTTGAGGCAAATTGAGGTAAATCAAATTTGTGTTAGAGGACTCTTGCTTAGAGCTCTGTCTCTTTACTCATGACAGCAATGAGCACATTGATGGATTATAGGCCTTTATGCGAATCAGAGTGTG